TGTGATCTCATGTACTATCTGTAACCGGAGTATGACTGCAAGAAACAGAGCTTGGGGTCTGCTCAAACCCTTGCCAGTTCCTGATAGACCATGGAAAATTATATCTATGGATTTTATAGTAGAACTTCCACCTTCCAAGGAATGTACACGGTACACTGATTGTCTAAAATGGCCCATTTTTTGCCTCTAAGGAACACCTTCTGCCATGGAAACGGCCCGTGTGTTTGTCAAGGAAATTGTGAGGCTGCACGGGGTCCCTGCATACATTGTCTCCAACCGAGGAGTCTAATTCACTTCTCGCTTTTGGAAGGCGTTATGTGAGGTTTTGAATGTTGAATTGTCTTTGTCTTCAGCTTACCACCCCCAAACTAATGGGCAAACAGAAAGGACTAATCAGACACTTGAACAGTACCTTCGATGTTTTACATCCTTTGTCCAGGACAACTGGGTATCATTATTGCTGTTGGCACAATTTGCCTATAATAATGCCAGCCATTCAGCCACAGGAAAATCCCCATTTTTTGCCAACTTCAGCTTTCATCCTTCCTTTCTGCCTGACTTCATTTCAGAATCAACAGTTCCTGTTGTTCAGGGCACGGTGGACTTTCTCAACCATAACAATAAATTGTTACAAGAGGCAGTGGCTAAAGCTCAGGCTGATAATAAGAATGCATTTGACAGGAAGAGAAAGGGGGAACTGAGTCTTCAGCTGGGTGACCAAGTGTGGCTATCCACGGCAAACCTTAAGTTGGCATGTCCATCAAGAAAACTCACACCTAAGTTTTTGAGGCAATTCCCAGTGAAGAGGAAACTTTACTAGGTATCGTATGAATTATCTTAACCAGAATCATTGTCAGGACAGGAACGCTGGAACGGACAGGCAGGCCTAATAACAATGTAACGCACTGGCTGACGACAACCACCACCCACAGACCGAAGTCCCTCAGGGCGCGGAGTCTAAGTCCCAGGCTGCCCTTCACCAGGGCCCCTGATGGTGGGGATGGACTTGACGCATCCAGGAACAAGGTCGTGGCCCCCGAGACACCCCAGTTGCAGTAATGGCTGCCGCCAATGGCGTGTAGCTGGTGGAAAGGACAATAGAGTAGTCGGGCAGGCCGGGTCGACAACAACAGGACAAAACGGTACAGGACAGCAGACGAGAATCACAGGTCACGGGCCGGGGGTTAGCAACGGAGGGTCAGATCAAAGGAGAACACTAAGAATGGTCGAGTCACAAGCCGAGTCAGATTCCAGGAGAGTCACAACAGAGCTGTAGCAACACAAAGACACAAGTGCAAAGGGCATGTGCGGACCACAGGCTTATATGTAATCAGCCACACCCCTCTGGGGGATGGACCTCAGAGACCTGAAGGCATAAAAGATTCCCACCATGCTCTGCAGAAATCCAAGATGGATGCCAGCACATGGAGTAACATAACCTCTGGGAAAAGGTAGGACCTTGACAATCATTTAAGATCCATCCAGTATTTCATGTTTCACTCCTAAAGCCTGTGGTGATGGATCTCTCTCCAGATAGGGGATCTGCTCCTGAACCTGTGCTTCTAAATGGAGATTGAAGAATATGAGGTGGAAGCTATTGTGGATTGCAGGAAAAGAAGGAACCAGCTGTACTACCTGATTAAGTGGAAAGGGTATAGTCCTGAAGAAAACTCCTGGGATCCCGAACAGAATGTCCATGCTAAAGGACTTATTTGTGCTTTTTTTCCATGCCCACCCGAAGAAGGGAAGCCAGCTGGGCATCCGGAGGCTGCCCGCAGGGAGGGGGCAATGTCAGGAAGATACTTGCCATAATGCAGCTGAAGCCTCTGGACTTACACTGGAGCGCAGGCACAGATGTGCGAGGGCCCTATATGCTTGATCTGCTCCCAGCTTTACTGACCTTGGTCTGTGACCCGACCAGGGGCGGACTGAACACTCATGGGGCCCCCGGGCAATAGGGGATCATGGGGCCCCTGTGTCCTTGCCCAAACTCAAAAAAGCCTATGAAAGAGGTACCAGGGGCATCTTATGGGGCCCCCTACTGACCCCGGGCCCTCGGGCAGTGCCCCAGTTTCCAAATGGTCAGTCCGCCCCTGGACCTGACTACTCTTCTTGCCGTTTACACCTGATCCGCTTATCTGTTCCCGGCCCAGCCTGTCTGACCCTGCATACAGCTTACCAGCCTGCTCTGCTGCCAGCCTGTCCAGCTGTCCCATCTACCAGCGAAGTGCCAACAATTCCAGCACAGACTACAGGACTGACCAGGCACTCATATCCCACCGTGCTCTTGTGGCTGCTGTTTCATCTTCAGTGGCCTTTCAGCTGGAGCAGTACAAGAGGCCTAAGTGTCAGTACAAGAGCAAGGTAGGTGACACTTATTTTCCATCCATCCTTCCTTCCTTTCTTTCTCTCTTGTGACTGGGCCCTGGCAATCCGCCACCGGGCAAACCACCAAAGCTCACAAATTGCTAAAAATGTGGTAAAATATGCGTGAAAAATGCTGAAACATTCTACGCTCACGTGTGAATGGAGCCTTATTACCCCTTCCCGCCGGCGCCTCCCGGCCCTTTAAGAGTTTCAGACGCTGGGAGGCGGGGTGGGGCGTGGTTTAGGAATCATGTGACCGCCGTGATGCGTCATCACGGCGGTCACATGATTGGGAAAGGTCCCGATCGAAGGAGCGGACCGGGACCTTTCCATGAGTACCACACATGTGTGCTGGGAGCGCGCAGGGCGCGCGCTCTCAGCACATATGTATTTTGCTACATGGATGCAAATGTGCGGCCGCTCGGCATCTAGGTCCAGACGCCGGGAGGCCGCACATTTGTGTGTGGCCGGCGTAAAGAGGTTAAAGTTAATTTTTACCCTTTCTACCCCTCTCATCAACCCTCCAACCTGTACAACCATCAACTGTCAAAGAGAATCAAACATGACATCACAGCAATATCTCTTCTGATATTTTATTGGTGAATTTATACAGATATATGGACCATCACCCAGATTTACTGACATATTCTTTATATAATATGGAATATATAATACACCAAAAAAAAGAAATGTAAAGGGTTAAAAAAAAATCATTTTTTTTATTTATACCATCACATCTTATCAACGACAGCAATACCATGACATCAGAAACAGCGATAACTAACAAATATCATCCCCGATCTTATTACAGACTGCATGGTTTACGTGGTTTTTTAGCCACAGTCCCATTGACTTCTATAAAGTACGCATTTTGCGGTGTTTTCTGAAAGATGCGGAATGCAGGATTTTTGATGTGCTTCCAGAAAACGCAGCAAAAACGGACAATCTAATAGAGTTCTATAGGACTGCAGCTAAAAACGCATGTATAATTCACGTAAACCGCGCGCATTCACGCGCACTGCGGATAATACGCATGTATAATTCACGTAAACCGCGCATACACCCGCACTGCGGATAATACACATGTATAATTCACGTAAACCACGCATACACCCGCACTGCGGCTAATACGCATGTATAATTCACGTAAACCGCACATACACCCGCACTGCGGATAATACGCATGTATAATTCACGTAAACCACGCATACACCGCACACGCGGCTAATACACATGTATAATTCACGTAAACCGCGCATACACCCGAACCGTGGCTAATACGCATGTATAATTCCCGTAAACCGCGCATACGCCTGCACTGCGGCTAATACGCATGTATAATTCACGTAAACCGCGCATACACCCCCACACTGCGGCTAATACGCATGTATAATTCACGTAAACCGCGCATACACCCGCACCGCGGCTAATACGCATGTGTAATTCACGTACACCCGCACTGCGGCTAATACACATGTATAATTCACGTAAACCGCGCATGCACTGACACCCGCAACGCGGCTAATACGCATGTATAATTCATGTAAACCGTGCATACACCCGCACCGCGGCTAATACGCATGTATAATTCACGTAAACCGCGCATACACCCGCACCGCGGCTAATACGCATGTATAATTCACGTACACCCCGCACTGCGGCTAAATCGCAGCATGACAATGTGGACGCGGCCTAAGTATCTCCCCACATGTCTCTGATCTGTACACCTAAATGTACCTAAACTCCAAGCGGTTTCCAGTTTTGGATAGAGGGGGTGATGGGGTAGAGCCTCTGGCGGGTGTTTATTTCTGTCTCTTCCCCCTGTAGAGATTCTCCCTCTCTATTTCTCCTGCTGACCACGGACACAGAAAGTGTAGGAAATCAAATATTTTATGGCTGTCATTGGAACAGGAGATGAGGGGAAACCTTCCCGTGGGGACACGTGTTCCGGGGACACCTATCTAAGAGGAGATTTCCTCTGACCCTGGAGAGATTTCCTCTCACTTCTGGTGTCTCTGGGAACAGGACGTGAAAGAAAATCTCCCCAGCGGAGCACAGACAGTATAAAAACTGACTGGGCTCCAGATCCTTTCTTACTCTATCAAAACAAAGAAAAACAAAAAAAAAAACCCCAACATCTTTATATATTATAATAAAAGCCTAAAAACTCACAATTCATAATAATAAAGTGTTACTAACCCCACAACAGTACAATCAGTCTGTAGATGCTGTAAAGCATGCTTGTTATACTCTCTGTGGAACCTAAGGGGTTAATCCTCCGCATTATGTAAAAAGGCTGTTGATCCTGTCTTCTCTGATCCTGCCCTTCTTCTGCTGTCCCTAACCCATCTTGTGATAGAACAGAGCCATGGGAGCAAGCTGCACATGCTCAGTGTGGTGTATATATTGCTAGAGAGCTTTTTTTTTTTCTTGGGACAGTGCATGTGATCAGCACAGGACCAATCAGCATTCTCCAGCCAGAAGGTCAGGGACTCTGCATCCTCCTAGAGCAGAATGAAAACTCCTCCTACAAGCTTTAACCAGTGCTCTGCTGGACACTGATAGAAGTCACAAGACTGCTACATACTGCTGATGAGAAAATGTATTTAGCAGTTAATATTTACTAAAATAATTGTATTTCCATGTTGTGTGTGCTGTGGGAGACCAGATATAGTGAATGCAGGGTCCGGGGAGAGCGGATATAGTGAATGCGGGGTCTGGGGAGAGCGGATATAGTGAATGCGGGGTCCAGGGAGAGACGGATATAGTGGAATGCAGGGTCCGGGGAGACCGGATATAGTGAATGCGGGTCCGGGGAGAGTGGATATAGTGAATGCGGGGTCCGGGGAGAGCGGATATAGTGAATGCGGGGTCCAGGGAGAGCGGATATAGTGGATGCAGGGTCCGGGGAGAGCGGATATAGTGAATGCGGGGTCCGGGGAGACCAGACAGTGAATGCGGGGTCCGGGGAGAGCGGATATAGTGAATGCAGGGTCCGGGGAGAGAATGCCCGGGAGAGCAGATATAGTGAATGCAGGGTCCGGGGACCAGAGAGCGGATATAGTGAATGCGGGGTCTGGGGAGAGTGGATATAGTGAATGCAGGGTCCGGGGAGAGCGGATATAGCGAATTCAGGGTCCGGGGAGAGCGGATATAGTGAATGCGGAGTCCGGGGAGAGCGGATATAGTGAATGCAGGGTCCAGGGAGACCAGATATAGCGAATGCAGGGTCCAGGGAGAGCGGATATAGTGAATGCGGGGTCCGGGGAGAGTGGATATAGTGAATGCGGGGTCCTGGGAGAGCGGATATAGTGAATGCGGGGTCCGGGGAGAGCGGATATAGTGAATGCGGGGTCCGGGGAGAGCGGATATAGTGAATGCGGGGTCCGGGGAGACCAGATATAGCAAATGTAGGGTCTGGGGAGAGCGGATATAGTGAATGCAGGGTCCGGGGTTTAGTAACACTTTAAATTTAACCTTAACCCCTAACCTTAACATAACTCTAAAACTGACCATACACTATGCAACCAAATCTTCTTTAGCTTTACCAAAATGTTGTAATATGAAGACAAACTTAAATGATCCTTTAAATTAGTTAAAATCCGGCAGACCCGTATACTACACAGCTGATGGTAGATCTAAAGGAAATTGTACAATCAGATTGTATAGTGTGAGGTCAACCTAACGCTAAATACCCCCCAAATCTTGCCTTGTTGGGTGTGGAAGTGATGGAGGACACTCTCCTCTAGGCTGAGATCTACCAGATCTACCGATTGAAGAAATATATTATCTCTACAAACGGTGTCATCCTATGAACCAGATTCACATTTCTCAGCAGATTTCACCAGATTCAGGTCAGATTTCCTGTCATATGATCATTTTACACGTCTCCTGACCCCCCCAGATATCTTTACACGACCTTTTCCTACATACAACCCGGCATGGAGGGGCTCAGTGAAGGTGGTGGTGAAGGTGTGGAGGTGTCTGATGGGGTCACACAGATCATAAAAGGACAGCTGCCCGGCCTCATAATCCACATAGATCCTGACTCTATCAGGGGGGGTATCGGGAGATATGGGGATTGGTTTATCATCATGTAATAGATTACACTTACTGTTACACTTCCTCAAACCCCAGGACTTGTTATTACTTCCAATCACTGACTGCAATCCTCCCCTCTCTATACTGGGATAACACATCCCGACTCTGTAATATTCTGCCTCACTGACATCCACTTCCCAGTAATTTCGCCCCGAGGAAAAACTCTGACTGCTTAATACCTGGCTATAGATCTGAAATCTCTTATGAGCTGTGTTCACATCCAGTAATAAGTCTGAAGCTTCCTGTATATTGAAGCATACATTTCCCCCTTTTATCATATCAGATAACCCTTTTATCATATCAGATATCCCTGTGTGTAATGTGCGTGAGATTCCAGCCCCATCCAGATCCCCTCCATCATGGAGGAGTCTATCATGTCTCTCTCTGTCCTCATCATCTCCCTCCTCAGTATCACACAAGTCCCCTGTGTCTGATTCCTGGAGGACAGTCAGGGGTCGGTCAGTCATGTTACACAGCTCCTCAATGTCCCCCATCTTCCTGGACAGATCCTTCTTCTTTATCTCCAGTTGATGGATCATCTCAGACAATGGACATGAAAGCCGCTCTTCCTGGCTGGCGATCTCCCTCAGGACTCTCTTCTCCAGGTCCTCCAGTTGTCTCCTGAACAGGGCAGTGACTCTCTCTGTTAGACCAGCTGATTTTTCTTGTACTTTTCCCTTACGTTCCTGCAGACTCTGGACTCTTTTCTCCGTCTTCTCTGTCTCTGTCATCAGTTTCTGCAGAACGTTTCTCAGTTTCTGTTTCTTCTTCTCAGAAGCCTCATCCAGAGTCTCCACCTTGTGTCCCTGGTGTTCTCCAGCCAAACTGCAGGACACACAGATACAGGCGGCATCTACAGCACAGTAATATTCAAGAAGTTTCCTATGGATGGCACATTTTCTGTTCTCCATGGAAGTGGTGGGGTCAGTTAGGACATGTTCTGGTGACTTGCTGTGGATTCTCAGGTGATTATCACACAGAGAAGCTTCACACAACAGACAGGATTTAACAGCGGGTACTGGAGAGTGAATGCAGTAAGTACAGAAGATTCCAGTCTTCTTCTCTCTGGCTGAGTAGACCGGAAGGTCTCCACTGTGTTACGTAGTGTGATGTTCCTCTGCAGCGTAGGACGACTCCTAAACCTTTTTCTGCACTGAGGACATGAGTAGGATTCAGACCCTTCTTCTTTTTCCAGTGCGCGACTAATACAGACCCGGCAGAATTTGTGTCCACAAGTCAGGTATACAGGATCTTTATAGATGTCCAGACAGATGGAACAGTTCAGCTCCTCGTCTCAGATCAGCAGACGCCATCGCTGACAGCAGAAGAGAGAAATGACAATGGAAGTCGCAGAAACCAGAGGACACGTCACTCACATTTTTCTGCACAGGGTGGGACTGAACTGGTCTTGCAACTTATAACTGCAGGAAGTATGAAAAAAGTAAATGTCTAGAAATTAAAGTGATATTTCCATACACAGGAATGTTCTGGTCACACGCTGTAGTGACTGTTAGACTTGAATTGCATTTTTTGAAATAAGAACTTCACACAAAACACAAATCTGAGCAATTAATGCAGAGCCAGTAGTTATTTATATGATGATGTGTTATAGTTGTTCTGTGTAAAAGAAGTCAACGGACAACTTCTCATTGAGGCCCTGTTCATACCATAAACACGCAAAAAAGACACACCTAAAACATGCAACGTGCTTTGTGGTAGCCATTGTCTCCTAATGGCACCCGAATGAGGGGGGGAAACCAGTCATGCATTGTTTCCACATAACAAAACACATGAGAAAGGATGCAAAAGATGCACAATAAAAAAAATGGCACCCAAAAATTTGCTTACATTAGGTTCTTCAGCACATTCTTGGAGCGAGGGATTTCAAAATGAATGTGTGCTGCTCCAACAAACCGCACGGATAAAAAGCAACAAGAAAGTCAACAATGGTGTGTCAAAACGACGTGTAGTGTCAAACGGGGCCCTTAGGAAGTAGTCTAATTTAACCCTTTCGGTGCCATAGACATTTTGTTTTACCTTTTGTGTACCACATGCTTAGAAAAAAATAATATTTTTAGGGCCAGAAGATGTACATAAACCCCCAATCACAACCCCCCCACTCCCCAAAAAAAATTTTTTTCCTGAAATTAGAAAACCCTAGACAATAAAATGGTGGTTATTATTTAATTTTTTCAATGTCGACACTAATATTACCCGCCAGGTAGGTCTAGGTAACGTACAATGTGATGAAAAAAAACACTTAAGTTTAAATTTTTTAGGGCACACAATCCAAACGCAGTAATATTATCCCCAAATTTTTGGTAAAATATGTAGCAACCCCTCCTAGATAGCTTAGGGGGAGCTAGAGTAGTGTTTTTTCAGTTAGGAAGTCTAAATAGTGCAGTCTGGGCCTGAGTTTAGAAAGGGGTTATTTAGAGGTCACCAGCTGAGAGGCCTCTGCAAGGCCAGCCCTCTGAGACTTCCCCCTGTGCTCTAGACCCTTTGAGAATGTTCTAATAAGCCAGTGGGAGGGAAGTGAGAGTTGGGCTGATCTGTAGCCAGTATTTGAGGGATCCTGTCAATCCTCGTCAACTGGAGGCTTGGCAAAGGGACCAGTGACAACCTTTGAAAAGTGACAGAGTCCTGCTCAGCAATCAGGAGAGAGTTTCAGGTGGAAGAGGGTGAGGTAAGTAGGTAGGCTGGAGTTGCAGGAGGCTGAGAGGGAAAGCCCAGGCTGGTAAGGGGCCTCACCTTCGAGGGCAAGATATTAGAGAAGAGGAAAAGCTTGGAAGCATTCGCTTGGCCCCCATATCGAGAACCAACTGTGGCAGCAGAGGAAGCAGTTGCCCTCAGCTAGAAGGCCTGGTAGCAGCCACCGACCCAAGTAGTAGCACGGCGAAGGACTAAGATTAGTACACCAACACCCCCAGGGGCTATAATGTGGAGAGAGCATTGTTGGGTTGGAAACCTTAACTGGCATCTGTACCTGTGTACAGTTTAATTCCCTTTCAGGTAGCAGCTACTGGATCCCCTGTCCAGGATTTTCCAGACACCGATAGAGGCATCTGGGGTTGGGAGGTACAAATGGGAGATGCTACTACTCCCCCAAAAAGGAATTTTTTTCTGTTCAGACTTTTATTATAGTTCAGGAAGTTTTTTCCTCATTTTATCAATTTTTATTGGGCATCCCCGTATACCCCCTTACCCATCCAAGTTACAATCCCCTAAAAACTCAAAAAAACCCAAACTCAAAGGGCTGGTTTCAAGCTCCGGATACAAGTCAAAAAATGGAAAAGCTGTTCCCCGGCTGGCATAAAAAACGGGGAAACCCAAACCTTTGGGAACTTTTAAAAGGGGGGGTGCTACAAATATTTAAAAAATTAGGTGCACTGTGTAAATGGATACCCAACCTGTCCCAAAACCCTTTAAAAAATTCGGTCGTGAAAAGGCAATAAACCCCATATCCTAAAATTTTTCCATAGGGAACACAAAATGTATGTTACAGAGGGGTCTGGGGGCTTAAATTTTTGTTTTTCCCTCCCGCCTGTTGGGTTTGGGTAAGTAAAATAAAATATTGCAAATTTGGGATCCCCAAAGCTTGGGTTTACGTTTTATCCCTTCATAAATGTGAAAGGGGGGCCTCAAACAATTGTTTGAGGGTTTTATGTCTTTTGGGGGGGAAAATTTATTTTTTACAATTAAAAAAAAAATTTTTTTTTACTTAACTTTT